TCCCGCCTCGGGAGCTGGGTGAGAATAAAGCCCTGCTGTTTGAAGCCGCCTGGTTTTCGGAGCTCGGTGCAGTGGGGGCGGGAAACTCTTGCACAGCTCACTACGTGGCACATGCCACAGGTCCCATAGCTCTGAGGCCTTCGTGTTTGCAAGGACAACTGATCACGTGGATGTGGCAGGGGAAGACGGAGAGAGGCAGAGAGAAGCAGAGAGGGACACAGATGAGACAGAGAGACATGGAAAGAGAATAAGGGAAGAAGCAGAAGATGCACCCGCCCCCCGCCAGGGCCTGCCCTGCAGCCTGCGGACCCCACAGCCAGCCACCCTCCCCCACCCCAGCCGCTGTCTGCAGGGGCGGTGACCAGGGGCCCAGCCAACAGCCTGGGGTCAAGGGCCCTTGAGCCTCTGGGAGCAGCCAGGGCAGCTGGGCTGCCGTCTCTGATCACAAAACACCCCCAGCCTGCTGGGGCTGCTGCATGGGAAGCCGGAGGTGGGCCCTGGGGACCCTGACCCAACAAACAAGCAGGCCAGTGGCGGGCGGGCGGGCCGCTTCCCGGAAGCCTGTGCTGATGCACGCGCGCTGCAGGGACGCTCTGGAGCGCCTTGCAAAGCCCAGCTTGGCAGGACATGAAACCACTTGGCCGGACAGACACCGACCGCCGTGGCCAGCAGTGTTCAGCAGAGCTGAGTGTCCGGCCTGTCGCAGTAAATATTTATCCCCTCTCCGGGGCTGCGGCGGTGCCGGGCTACGTGCTGCTCTCTGGGCCGCTGACCACCCCCTCCATCCCCGCTAAGGGGAATGACCCCGGCAGCCCCCGAAACCCCCGTGAGACCAACCCTCCATTGCCCCGCAGCCAGCACCAGATCACACAGGCGCCACCGCCGCTGGGGAGCTGGTTCATGCAGGGTGGGGTTGTGGGGGCAACGAGGCCAACCCCGGGCGCCCGCTCCTCTGCCTTCTGCAGCCACCAGCTCACAGTGGAAGCCGTGGCTCAAGGGAGTGTGGCCTGGTGGGAGGGACCTGAGCCGCCCGCGCCACCATCAGAGCCCCTCCCTCACCCCTTCCTCGGAGGGCGGAGCCCCTTTATTCACAGGGCCCCTGGCCATGTTTGTCGGGAAGTACCCCCGAGGGGCTGACAGCACAAACCCTGAAGACCCAGGTGTCCTCACAGCTGTATCGCAGCCCCGCCCGCTCTGGGCCTGGCGGGGACAGAGCACCCGTCACCCGGCAGCCCTGCCTGAGGCAGGCAGCAGGCTCCATAGCCCCGAAGCCAGGGCTGGACTACCCCCCACTATCTTCCAGCTGCAGTCACCACAACACAGCCACGGCGGGGCCGGCCCAGAGGCTCATCTAACCCTCACCACTGCAGCAAGTCAGGTGGGGAAACTGAGGCTTCGGCAGGTTCCACCCCACCGGGGCTCATCCAGCCCAAAGTCTCCTGGGACCCCCACCCTGCTGGACTCCCCTAAAGAGCTCAGGAGAGGAGGCTTCTCCTTGTCTGTCCAGGGCAGGAGGGTGGGGCCTGCCCTGGACAGATAAGGCACCGGGCACTGGGCACGCCAGGGTGCCCTCAGGCTGTGGGATGCACAGCTGCTGCCTCATGCCCTTGGCTCCCAGCTACCCTACAACCTGCTCCAACCAGCTGGAGAAGAATTACTACCGAAAGAGAAGGCCGGAAGCCAAGCTCTTGGAGACACAATTCTGACAGAGGCCCCGAAGAGCTGGCATGGGCACACCACAGGCAAAGCTGGACATTCAGAGCCACATGGCACCCTTCGGGCCTGCGCAGGGTACCTGCTGCCAAGCCCAGCTGTGGCCTCACGCCCGAGTCACCAGTCACCCAGCCATGCAGTGGTGGGGCACTTGCCAGCAGTCTTGGCCTGGGAATGAGGTTGGCAAGGTGGCAGGCGGAGGTGTGCAGAGGCTGGGGGCACGCGTGGTGCCCTGCCTGCCAGCACCCATGTCTGCTCCTCGCTCCAGGGCCTGAGGAAGCCCAGGCCAGCCCCTGATCCCTGCTCTGCTGGGGCTGTTCTGCGCATGGGCACCCCACTTCTGAGCCCCGCTCTGTGCCAGGAAGCCTAGGAAGGGCTTTCCCAGTTAGGCTCTAACAGGCTCGACCCCAGGCACAGGAGATACCGCCAGCCCAGTTCACAGGTGGAAAAAGGAGGCTGAGGTCGCCAGGTCAGTAGGGGTGGAGCCAGCAATGAGACATGAGCCTCCGACGGTGCCAGCTCACCCTCAAGTCACCCCTCAGTGCCGTGGTGCTCCAGGGTCCTGCCTCAGCTGCCCAGCCCTTGCCCTTCTGCATCCTCCTAAGGGCAGCCCTGGCCTTCTTCCCTGCATCTCCCCAGAACCCGGAGGCTCCACTGCTCAGTGCCCCGGCTGAATGGTGGCTGAACTACCGAAGGGCCCTGCCCTTGCTGAGGCCCGCCAGGGCTGTCCACACCCAGGCATCCACTGCGTGGCAGAGCTGTCCCTGTGATGCCACCTCTGTGATGCCACCCAGAGCCCAACTGGGACGCTGGGGTCGCCACCAGTTCCACAGTGGCCCGGGAAGCTGCTCATAAGCACTGGGGCTCAAGGGCAAACGGGCAAGGGCTCAGGGTTAGGGACGGGGAGTCCTGAGGCCAGAGGAGGAGAAGCCACGCTCTGAAGGCAGATAGGCAGAGTCGGGGGGGGGGGCAGGGCTGGCTCTGCGGAGGATGAAGGGACCAGGCCCCAGGGCAGTAGTGCTCCAGGTGCCACCCAAGGCCTCGCAACGTGGAGTGACATCTACACAGGGCATCTGAGGAAACTCCCCCGAGTCTGAATCCACAGCTGGATTCAGCCCCCAGCGGCTTGGGAGGGGACGCAAAGAGGAAACTTGGGATTTGGGAGCACCCAGTGCCCACGGGCAGCCCCAGGAGCATCCCAAAGGGACAGAGGCCTGGGCCGCATGTAACCACTTTACTCAGGCTGGCTTCCGTAAAGCACACGATGCCCGTCCCCCAGGCACCAGGGTGGTGAGCGGGCTCTGGTTCCTCCAGGAGTGGGGTGCAGGTGAGAACAGCCGGAGTCTGAGCAGGTGGACCTCGACCCCTCCCCGACCACAAGCCCAGAATCTTGAGGCAGAACGGCCACGTTTCGGGAGAGAGGGAGGGCTGGTGAAGAGGCCCAGGCACCCTGCACTGGGAAATGCCAGGAGGGGATCCCTGGCTGGTGGCGCCCCCAGATAGGGGGACTTCGTCCATGACTGCCCCCAATGCCATGCCAGGAGGCTGAGGGCCCTGGCGTGTCAGAAACGCTGCTCCCACTCTGACTTCAGGCCGGCCTGGAGGCTGCAGTGGAGAAGTCTTGCCTCCACACAGGGCACTTCCTCAGCCTGGCCACCAGGACTGCCTCCAGCCCTGGGCTCAGGTGGCTTCTGGCTGCTTCCAGAAATGGGGCTCTTCCATCATGAGCTGTTGGTGGGAGACCTGGTTGATGCTACCAAATTCCCACAGGTGAATACACCTGCATCCACGCACGGGCGACGGCCACAGGACAGACCCACATCCACGCACAGGCGACGGCCGCAGGACAGACCCACATCAACGCATGAGTGACAGCCACAGGACAGGCCCGCATCCACGCACAGGCGACGGCCAGAGGACACACCCGCATCCACGCACAGGCGACGGCCAGAGGACAGACCCGCGTCCACGCACAGGTGATGGCCACAGGACAGACCCACATCCATGCAGGAGCGACAGCCACAGGACAGACCCACATCCACGCACGGGCGACGACCACAGGACAGGCCCGCATCCAAGCACAGGTGACAGGCACAGGACAGACCTGCATCCAAGCACAGGTGATGGCCAGAGGACAGGCCCGCATCCACGCACGGGCGATGGCCACAGGACAGGCCCTTATCCACGCAGGGGTGACGGCCACAGGACAGGCCCACATCCATGCACGGGTATTGGCCACAGGACAGGCCCACATCCACGCATGGGTGATGGCCAGAGGACGGACTGCAAGGTGCTATTTTGGGGAACAGAGTGAGAGATTTCTTCTTCTTTTTGCTGAAGGTCCCTGAAACTCAGCCCTCCCGGCACTGGGCCATGTCATCCGGGTCATCCTGTGTGCTGCAGACGCTGAGCAGTGTCCCTGGCCCCATCCGCCTGCCCAGCTCACCTGCCACCAAACCTGACTCCACATCTCCACCGTCCCGGGGTGGGAAGACACAGCCGCCCCGAGTGAGAACCCCCGTTACCGTAACGGTTTCTTGCCCCTCTACTCTGCACACATAAGAAGTGTGCAGCAAACACACATTGAAGCTGCCGGAGTCGCTGGAGCAGGCAGACAGGTGCAGGTGTCCCGCGTGGACCCCACGCCCAGGAGAGCAGCGCAGAGCAGGGCCTCGGCTCCTCCCCGGATCCCAGGCTGAGAAGCTAAGCCACACTCATCTGAGAACGCGTTCCTGCCTTCTCTCCCCCAGGCACCCCGAAACCCTCCACCTGACCCGGGGTGGCTGCCAGCTCCTCCCACAACCCACTTTGCATGCGGCCGGCTCCGCAGAGCCTGAGTCTATAAAACGGGGAGAGGTGTGCACAGGCACTCAAGTTCCGTGTTGAAATAAAATCTTGAGCAATAAAAGGTTTCACGTGCGCTTGGGAACAAGGCCCGAAGGCCAAGTGGCAGCAGCCTCCCGCCAGCCCCTGGCAGGCTGAGACCGCTCTCGCCTCCCTGAGTGGCCAGCATCCTCCTGGGAGGGGCCCCCTCCTCCTTCACACAGGGCGTGGGTGCTTGGGTAAACAGAACAGGGCTATGGCACGGGAGCAGCCCCTGTGGCAGCCTCACCCGGAGGGTAGGAGAGGCCTCATGCTCAGATGAGGGCTTCAGGCAGGGGGTGCACATGGCCCCGAGGCCAGGACCGGGCCCCGCCTCTACTGCCCAGCTCCCAGGAGGTCAATGCCGACCTTTGTATAAACAAAGCCCCTCCCCCAACCTGGGACCCTGGGTCCCCAGCACCTACCTCCGCTCGTGGCTGACACACCACGCCTGCCACCCGCAGCCTGGCTTCCACACGGGCACCACGCGGCTGAGGGCCTGCAGGCACGGCTGGCGGTGCCCCACCAGGGTCAGCTCCTGCTCGGCACACACGTGGGGCCTGGAACAGCGACACAGAGAGTCAGCGCCTCAGCCGCCCCCAGATGGCAGCACCCACCCCTCCTGCACCCCCACCCTTGGGTGTCAGCCCATCTGGAGTGAAGTCCAGGGCTGGCCATGCCAGTGCCCCAAGCCGGCCGTGGAGCCCAGGCGTGAGGGCACAGGAGCTGAGGGGAAAAGGGACGATGGCCACCGCTGCATCCCCCACGCATGGGCCACAGCGTGGCTCCCGGTCCTCCAAGACCTTGAGACACAGCCACCCACGACGCTGCCTCAACAGACAGGAAGCGTGGCCCCGATGCATAGTCACGCCTGGTCCAGAATCCAGAAACAAGCCGGGGCCCATCTGTCCTCTCCCCCCAGCCCTCCCCGCCTTGCTGCAGAGATGTCCCCAGGCTAGGTGCTGCTGGGGCCTGCGGCTGAGCGGGGAGTTCACCCACGGCAGGGTGGGTGCAGCCAGCTCCGGGCCCATCCACTGTGAAGTCAGTGGCTCCCCAGCATCCTAGGACCCACGCAGGTGAGTGTTTGGATAATGAGCGAGGCCTGCTCGTGGAGGGGGAGGTGAAACCCCAGCCCATCCCAGCCAAGCCCCTTCAGGGGCCCTCTGAGGCTTCTCCAGTCCAGAGGCTCACCTGTCACCAGAGGCTGCATAAACCAGGGAGGGGGCACGCCGGGGACAGGTGCCCTAAGCAGCCATCCAGACCCCACCGGGCTCGGAGCAGGTGGAGGAAGGGCTCAGGCCCTGGTGGGGAAGGGTCAGAGGGAGGGACCCCTCCAAACACAGACACGCAGGCCGCATCCCCAGAGCAGGGGCTCGCCCCAGGCCTGCCCTGACCGAGGGGTGAGGCGGGCCCCCTCCACAGCGGCAAATTTGCGGGGCGAGGACAAGGCTCCAGCGCTCATGTCCCACAGCAGGTGCGCCTGGCCCTGGCTCTGAGGACCGCATCTCCCTTCCGACCTCCGGCGCTACTAGCCTGGCAGATCCCTCAGAGCCCCTCCCACCTCCTGGGGCAAGCAGATGGCATGGGCCCCCAGTGCCTCGTGGGAGGGCCCCGTACCGCCCGGAGTATTGTCCAGGCTCGGTATCGCCCTCCACCCAGGCCCTGCCAGGAGCTCCTAACCCACCGCTACCCGGTGGGCCGGACCCAGGCTCAGCACTCCGAGACTCTGCCTGTCCTGTCAAGGCACACTGGCCCCAGGCCAGCCGCCCCCCATGGATGCTCTCTCAATGGAGAAGTTTATTTTTCCTCTTTCCTGGACCTGGTGCTGTGTGGGAAGGCCTGTGTCCCCTCCGACTTCAGCCCACCCCCTCGTGCTGAACAAATCCAGAAAGCACAGATCCGACACAGCGGCAGCAGGATGAGAGCAGCTCACGGCAGGCCTTCACCATCAGGAGAGCAGGGGCTCCGCCAGACGGCTGTGGCACCCAGACAAGGGACCCTGGTCTCCAGCTGCCCACCCACGGAGAGGCAGACGACAGCTGGGACCAGAGTCTAGCTCCAGGTCTCCGGTCAAGTCCAAGAAGACCTGGGGCTGCCGCCGGACGTGCCCTGCCCGTGACCTCTTGCCTGCGATGTGCTGCCCACACTCTCCTGCAGTTCCCAAGCTGCCTGTCCCAGGGCCAAGGCGTGCGCACCCGAGGCAGCGTCGATTCCTGGAGTCCAAGCCCATGTGACTGCAGGGCAGGGGCACAAGGCAGGGCGCGAGGCAGGGCAGAGTGCCTCCTGGCCACGAGCAGGGTCCAGGCTCCCCACCAACTCCCAGACAGACCCGAAGCTGCAGCCGAGCAGCCTCCACAGCCACGAGGACCCTCCGGCCAGGCGGGATCAGTGACGCCATCCCAGGGCAGGTGGAAAGGCACTGCCATAGCCTCCTCCTGCACCAGGGAAACGACTCCCTCCCGGCCGGGAAGCCAGGCTTCCAAAAACCTCAACTCCTTCTACCTAGGAGCCTGGGAAGAGGTGATCGTTCAGGAGTGCCTCCTCCGTGCCCAGCACCAGGCCCTTTCTCGACATGACATCATCGAATCTCCCCTCTCCCAGAGAGGAGGTGACAGTGACCCCCAATCTGCTCACGGTCACCAGCTAATGTGAGGTACAGCCAGGACTAAGGGCCAGGCCTCTCCTAACTTCCCCCAGCATTGCTGGGCCCCTGTGTCCCAAGGGCCATGGATCCCAGAGTGAGAACAGGGGAGGGGGCAGGGCCAGAGGTTAGATCAGGGACAGAGGGTCACGTCGCCAGGGAGGGCCCTCTTCAGCTTCCCTGGGGCTGGGTCCTGACCTCATCCCTGACCCCCAGACTACAGCACCCATGGGGGATGCTTTCACAGCCCCTGGGCCACTGCCCCACCCCACCCTGCTGTGACCCAAGGCTGACCTCTGAGGATCACACCCTCCCAACACCTGCACACACACACACACACACACATTCACACACACACACAAACTCACACTCAATCTCACACATTCATACACATACCCAGAGTCACACACACACACCCTTACACACTCATACTAATTATACACACCCACAGAGTCACACACAGTTCACACAGACTCAAATGCACTCACACATACCCACAGGCACACAATCACACACAAACACAATCGCACACATTCACGAGCACACTCAATCACACATTCGGGTATGCATGGTCACAAACATGCTCACATACACTCTCACACAATCACATCACCACACCCACACACACACAAACTCACTCTCAATCACACATTCACATTCATAATCACACATCCTCACACACACCCCCACACCATCACACTCTCTCATACACACACAAATACACAATTACATGCACAGAGTCACACACATACACATTCACACACACACATACACTCATACACACAATGTCTCACACACACAATCACACACACGCATGCACACACACTTCTGTACTCTCATGCACGCAAGCTCACACACACACATACACATTCACACACACATACACTCATACACACAATGTCACACACACACACGCACACACTTCTGTACTCTCATGCATGCAAGCTCACACACTCACATTTGCACATACATATGCACACTCAAACTCCCATTCACACACATGCAGATACACAGGCACACACACAGACACCCACACACCTCTGCCCTCTGGCTGCCAGGTAGGTTTAGTCAAGGTGAGGACCAGCAAGAGATGTGGGAGCGTCTTTGGGCTGTGTCCCTCCTGCCAGGGGTGGGGCCGTGCCCACTCCCTCTGGTGCTCACTCCCTCCGGTGCCCACTCTCTCTGGTGCCCACTCTCTCTGGTGCCCACTCCCTCCGGTGCCCACTCTCTCTGGTGCCCACTCCCTCTGGTGCCCACTCCCTCTGGTGCCTACTCTCTCCGGTGCCCACCCTCTTCGGTTCCAGGGCCCAGCCCCCACCCAAGGAATGGCCTTGGCTCCACGGCTGCACCCCCGTGCTTCCTCACTCACGCGTCTGCCTCAAAGCACACCCCTTTGTGAGGATCCCTCCCCAACCCCTCCCAGGACAGTGCCACAGCCTGTCCTCCTCCTGACAGATACGCTGTCCCCCTAAAATTGCAAAAGCCACGCTTTCATGTACAGTGTCAATTTTGGGATCAGAGCCAGGCGTTCCAAAGAACTGGCACCTGGGGGAGCGTAGGACTCAAGATCAGCGCATCCACCCACCCATCATCATGCAGTGGTTCTCAAAGTGGGGTCCCCAGGCCAGGACCAGCAGCTCCTCCTGGGAACCCGCAGAAATGCACACTCCTGGGCCCCACCCTGGACCCGCTGAATCTAGGACTCCTGGGGTGGGGCCAGCATTCCTCGGGGATTTAAGAATTGCCTGTGTTTTCCCGAGCCCACCAGGGGCTGCTGGAGCACACTGAAGCTTGTGATCCCAGGCCTAGCGGTGTGAAGCAAGGTCTCGCTGCTGGGCTGCCTGGGTTTGAATCTCAGCTCCCCATGCCCCATCTTGAAGATGTGAAGCTCACTGAACCTCTGCCTCAGTTTCCTCACCTGTAAAATGAGGACTGGCCTTGCCAGGTTGTCGTGAGGGTTCAATGAGCCGGCACAGACAAGGGCTCCGACAGCCCTTAGGAGGTGTGAGCCAGTGTTACTGCAGATGCTGGGACTGTTTATTCAGGAAGAAGTGTCACTTGTGCATCAACAGTGGGCCCATAGGAACTGCTACAAGCACTGAACGTGTTTGCTGCCCCTGTGCCTTGCCACGCACTTGACCACCTTGAGCCCTGGGCAAAGGTGGCCCTGAACTACTCGCCATAAAAAAAACGGAAGGGGTGGGGGATTAGGCTGATGACCCTGAGCTTCTGGGCTGCAGGGGTCCCTCCAGGGGTCCAGCCCCAACTCTGCAATGGCCCCTGTGCTGAGGGCAGCCACTGTGAAGTAAGCCTGTCACCGTCTCAGGATGGAGATGACACAGAGGGGCCAGAGCTGCGAACTTGGCTTTTCAGCAGACACCCCAGGCCTGGGGCCTGCTGTGCAGCCAGAGGAGTCGATGACCATCTCTGAGCCCTCAATTCAGCATCTGGAAGGCAGGCGTGACAGCAGCTCAGGCCTCTGGGGCTTGGGTCCTGAGGGGATGGGTGCTTCCCTCTGAGGGGCCTCCTTGTCCCTCCTGGCACTCGTCAAACCTCAGCAACCTCGGCTGCCACGAACCAGCAAGATGACAGTGCAGAAGGACTCGAGAGATCCCCTGCCAGCCCCACCCAGGACCACCTAGCAGCCCTTGCCCACATCACACCGTCACTCCCTGGGCTGCTGCCCCCGGCATGTCCTTTGTCTCCCCAGTAACTCCTCCCCCTCCACGGCTCTCCCCCAGGCCGGAGGGCCCTTGCCCTGCCCAGCCAGGCTGTGGTCCCTGAAAGCAGCTCCTGGGTGGCCCTCGCAGTGACCCTCAACAAGAGTGATGGATCATCAATCAAGCCAGCCTTCAAGGGAGGAGGGGTGAGTGGGGAAACAACTGTCTTCTCTGGGGAGTTCCGCGAGGCACACACAGCCACTGCGGCCTTCCCACCTGGGAGGATGGAGGAGGTGGCAGAGGGAGGGCAGGCAGAAGAGGGGACATAAAGAAATCTGCCTGGCTGGGCACGGTGGCTCACTGGCTCACACCTGTAATCCCAGCACTTTGAAAGGCCAAGGCGAGTGGATCACAAGGTCAGGAGTTCAAGACCAGCCTGACGCACATGGTGAAACCCCATCTCGAGCAAAAATACAAAAGTCAGCCAGGCATGGTGGCTCACGTCTATAATCCCAGCTACCTAGGAGGCTGAGGCAGGAGAATCACTTAAAACTGGGAGGCAGAGGTTGCAGTGAGCCGAGATCATGCCACTGCACTCCAGCCTGGGCGACAGAGCTAGACTCCATCTCAAAAAAGAAAAAAGAAAGAAAGAAACCTGCCCACTGCCCCACATGTGTCCCAGGAGAACCTGTTAAAATGCCTGGTGGCCTTGACAGGCCATCTGGGGAATTCCCAAACTACAAAGTGGACCCGGCGCAGTCGGAGGCGGAAGGTGGCCCAGCTGGCCGGCCATCTGATCCCAGGCAGAGCTGGGGTCCCACCGGCAAGAGGTGGGCATGCCACAGGGTTCCTCCAGGGCGGGCAGTGACAGTCTGGGCCCAGTGAGGGCGTCACCAGGTGGGGGAGGCAGGGATCCAGAAACCGGGCAGCCGGCCTGGCTCAGCTTCCCAGCCTGGCTGAATGCAGCCCCTGAATAAACCCCTGTGGGCAGTGGGCGGGAGGAGTTGCTCAGGACAGCCGTCCTCACGTTCATCACGTTCATTTTTGAATGCTTGTTCTTACCCCATGGGTCTCTTCTTCTCATGCCTCCCAGGCCCCCAAACAGCCAGATGGGGGCTCTCAAAGCCCTGGTGTTGGGGGGCCCAGCTCCTGCCCTGGGGCCCCTAGGACCCTCAGGTGCCTTCCTTTAGATAAGGTGACGATTCTCAATGTCACTCAAAGCCCCAAAGGTAGGTGAGAGCTCCTTCCCTCCAGGTCTGGCGCTGCAGCACTCAGGGCCCCACCGGAGGCTGAGAACAGCTGCTTTCTGCACCTGGGGTGGTGGACGGAGTGTGGCTGACAACCCCCGGGCCTCAGGCTCACCCTTGATGCCAGGGGGTCCAAAGAGCTACTTGCAAGACTGGACTTGAGCTGGAGGCCCCGACCCACCCTGGAGGGGAGGCATCAGGTCATTAGCTGGTTCCAGAGCGCTGGTTCTCCATCGGGGAGACCCTGAGCCCCTGTGAAACACTGGTCTCTGCAGCCCAGCAGCACCTCTCAGGGTCTCCAAAATGTGGAGCTTCCAACCATGGCTGCTCAGAGCTGGCAGGGCCCTGCCTTAGCACGTGGGCAATCTGCCTCCCACTCCCAGCCTCGTTCCCAGACGCCCGCCAGCAGCCTAGGGCCTCCTGCATGAGGCCGGGGGAAAGAGGCCAGCATCCTTCCGCACGGCGGAAATTCACTTCAGAGGGACCTGAATCAGCAGATAGATCAGCTCCGCCTGCTCCAGGGATGGTGCAAAGCACCTGGGTCCGTGAGTCAGAGGGCACCGCCCACCCTGACCCCCACAGCGTCTCCCAAAGGCCCCGGGTTCTAGCATTAACAGGAGGTTGGCAGTATGGCTTCAACTCAGCAGCCAGTGGTTCAGGAAAACTCAGCCAAAGCGGGTGCCACTCCCCCTGCCAGGCCCTTCCCGCTCATCAGATTCCCAGGAGGAAAGGGTGGCAGGGAGGACAGGACCAGCAGCGACCAAGCAGCCTCTGGGGCCCACCCCGTTCCTCTGGGGTAAGGGAGCAAAGAGCGCCCCTGCCCCTGCCCCACCCCCACCGGAGCCCACAGCTCCCTCCTCCCTTCTGCTCCACACAGTGGACCTCAGAACAGGCCCTGCTCTCCACAGCCCAGTGGGGATCTCCCCAGGGTCCAGCTCGGGGCCCCCACGCTCACTCAACCAGCCACCGTTGGCCCAAGGAGGCCCGGCTGCATGTCCAGCCACATGCCAGGTGCTTCCTAGACACCAGGCCTGTGGAAGGCGACACAGAGCTCAGACTCTTGCTGGTAAACGATCTGTGAGCAGAGGCCGCAGTGGAAATGCCTGGAGCCCAGAAGATAACTCATGGGCACAGGCCCCAGCGCAGCCACCGCCACTCACTGCAGCCAGGGAGGCTCCCCTGGAGGAGCGCAGGAAGGGAAGGGCAGAGAAGGGAGCAGAGGGAGGCCTGGGGCAAGGACGAGCAAAGAGAACTGCCTCTCCTGCAACCCATTTCCATGTTCCAAACGGCTTTGCCCCAGGCTCACAAAGGGCCGCCAGGTGTGCAGGCAGAACGCAGGAAGCAGACCCGCCGCTCTACTCCTGGAGACCCCAGCAGGTCCGAGTCCGGGGCCTAGGAAGGACACCAACAGGGTCTGCAGTGCCCTGGTGGCAGAGGCCCCTCACAGGAACAGGGACACCGGAGCAGAGACAGCGGGCCGTCCACCTCTGCCGAGCAGCCCACCCTGGGACTCTGGGGAGCCTGTGCCCCTGGAAGCCCCTGGCTGGTCCCAGGAGGGGCTGGCTGGCTGAGCAGTGAAGGCCAGTGTGGTGTCCCTTCCCGGCCTGCAGCTCTCCAATAAAGGCACTGGGGTCACAGGAAAGAGGAATGTCCAGCAGCCCGTGGAGTCAGGACTAGGGCCGTTCACACTGCGGATGCCAAGGCCCCCAACCCAGGGACAGCAGGACTTTGAAAAGGCTTCCTCTTCATGGAGTAAGCAAGACCCGGGGTGGGGCTGGGGGTTTGGAGCCCCTCCCCCTCCCCAGCACAACATGGCAGCTTCTCAGTCCCCAGCCAGCTGCAGCTCTGTCCTGCCCGGCCAGGTTTGTGCTGGGCCCTTGAGTACCAGGCCCTGTGGGGAGTGCTGGACAGGAGCAGGCTGAGAGCCCCTCCGCGGCCCCAGGACCCGGGGGCTGTGAAACAGGAGGCCTTCACCCGAGCCTGACCCTCGCCCGCCGGTCTGCAGCCTTCTCCAGCTCTGCAGGCCCCAGGCCCAACACGGGCAGGGAGTGCTGGGTGGGGGCACCAGCAACTCCCAGCCGCCGCCGCCTCCTTCACTGCACACCAGTTTTCCTTTGAGGCCAACACAAGGATTGATTTGCTGTTCAAGAGAGACCGCTAAACGGCCCGTTGGGGAATCATCTTTCAAAATTAAATTCATCTCGGCTGGCTCCCTGACCCTCTCTTCCTGCCCGTTCTGGCACTAAATTCCTTCTCCAACAGCCCAAAGCGCACGTGTTTAACACACAGACCAACTCCATTCAGCTCCCCCGTCTGGGCACGCTCGCCCCTGCGAAGGCCCCCAGACCCCAGAAGACAGGCTTTGGAGAAGCGGGAACAGGCGGCTTCCTCCCTGCCTTCTCCCAGCCGGGCTCCGGGGCCAGACTCTGCACGGAAAGGGGCCCGAATTCCTCACCGCTTTCCAAGCACAGCATCTGCCTGAGCCTGCAGAACCCACATCCCTGAGCCAAAGAGGGGGAGAGGGGAAGAGGGGGAGGGGATTCGGGGAGGGGCCCTGCCACAGAAGGGCCCCAGACTCGACCCGGAGCCCTGTGTCTCAGCACCCCCTCTCCAGTTAAGGCAAAGAGCCCACTGCTCTGAGGCCCCAGGGACAAAGCCTCGGAGCTCGGTCCACCGCGGGCCTCCCGAGGTCGTCTCTGGACGACCCGCCGAGCCCTCCCAACTCCCACTACTCACATGCCGGGCTGCAGCGGGAGCAGGGGCCGCGGAGGGACGCTGGCGCCGGCGGGCGCGGCGGGGAGCAGCAGCAGCACCAGCGCCAGGGCCACCTCGCGCCCCGCTGCCCTCGCCTCCGCAGGGAGCGGCATCGTGCGCGCCGGTGCCTTCTCCGGTCCCCGGCTTACAGGCGGCTCCGCAGAGCCTCCGCCTCGACGTGCGCCATAGGACGCAGCCACAGGTGCCCGCGCCGGGTCCGCGGAGCCCGAGGTCGCCGCAGGTGCGGAGCGTCCGCTTCCCGCCAGCGCCCGAAATGGCACCACGGGGACCCGATCGCCGGTCCACCCTGCAGACACTCGCCCCGGCGCGGTGAGCACAGGGCGGCGGGCCCCGAGCCTGGAAGGCCGCCACGCCCCCGGCACGCCCCCAGCCCGGACCCCAGTCCCTGCCCCGCCCCCGGCTCGTTCCGCCCCGAGCGCCCTCGGCCCCGCCCCTGTCCCGAACCCCTCCAACCTCAGCAGCGCCCCGCCCCCAGCACGCCCCCAGCTCGGACCCCAGTCCCGACGCCGACTCCGCCCCTCGCTCGCCCCGCTCCGTGTTCCCTAGGCCCCGCCCCTTCCCCCTCCCCCTCTCCCACCTCAGCAGCGTCCCGGCCCCCGCACGGCCCCTGGACTTGCCCAGATCCCTCACCCCAGCCCGGGCTCCCGCTTCCAGCCCCGCCCCGCCCCGCCCAGCCCAGCCCCAGCCCCGCCCAGCCCCGCCCCAGCCCAACCCCAGCCTCGCCCCAGCCCAACCCCAGCCCCGCCCAGCCCCGCCCAGCCCCGCCCCAGCCTCGCCCCAGCCCAACCCCAGCCTCGCCCCAGCCCCGCCCAGCCCATCCCAGCCCAGCCCCAGCCCTGCCCAGCCCCGCCCAGCCCACCCCAGCCCCGCCCAGCCCACCCCAGCCCCGCCCCACCCCTGTCCGGCTCCAGGCCCCGCCCACAGCCTTCCCGGAGTCCCGCCCCAGACCCCCGCGTGACTGGCACAGCCCCTTCGCGCTCCATGCTGGTCTCAGGCGGAAAGTCCAGAGACTAACCGACTGCAGTGACCAACCCAGAAGGGGCCGGCTCCAGGGATCATATCCCGCAAAGGCAGCTCTCTGCAGTCCCGGACCCCCAACTCCTGACCTCAAGAGACAGCCCTCAGGCTCCCTCGCTTCTCAGGTTCCACGCGGAAGCCAGCCTCGGCTTGTCCTGCCCGTGGACACTGCGTCCACCTTCGCCCTGACACCTCATTCCCTTCCCGCAGGGATGCGGTCGAGGAAGGGCTTGAGGAGGGGGTGGCCAGCCTCTGCCACCCGCGTGCACCCTGGACACCCCTGCTTCGGGGACGTGCATTGCCGGTTCCCGGCCACCTCCTGGGTATTCCCGTTCCTCTTTCTGTGCTGGGAACAGTGTTCTTGGACGGTGGCCTGGAGTGGGTAGGCCTGGGTCCCAGTAGCCACAGACAGGAGGAGGCCCTAAATTCTAGGGTGCCCATGGGCACAGAGGCACTATCTATGGTGAGGCTTCTGCAAAGTAAGATTCACTTTTGTCCTTTGAAACCTGGTTTTGGTTTGAAATTGACTGATTCCAGGGGCCAGAACCAGGTGGTTTCAGGAATGGACATGGAGTCTCTGGGGTCGGGTCTACCAGACACTCAGGAGTGTCACTTTTTGAATAGCAGATGGGAGGGTGCAATCTGGGTGGGACCAGATGGGGACCAGGAGTGGTCCCCTCATTAGCCACACGAAGAGCCAGCCCTGCTGGTCCCTGCTGCAGAGGCACACTGGCCATCAGCTCGGCAGTGAAGCCTGGGCTGCCCGGTTCCTCGGAACCTTTCCCCCTCCGAGGCTTTGTGTGGTCTGGGGGAGGAACTTCTAATAGGGAGCACTGGAGGGAGCCCTGGCTGGGAGGGGGTTGGGGAGGGAGCACCCCCCCAACCATCCCAATGCAATGGAGGGGCAACAGTACCCCCAACACACACAGGCTGTCTGTGCCCCCACACTGCCTGGAGGTTACAGTCCCCTGGGGGCGGGTGGCCATCAGGCCAGGCTCACCATCACCCCTGCTTTACAGAAGGGGAGGCAGAGGTCATAGGAGGGGTAGTACCCCCAGTCGCCCAGCTTGTGAACTGCAGATCCAGGAACTGAACACAGGGGTCTGGGTCTGGGGACCTTCCCTTACCCTGTCATCTGCTCCTTATCAATAACAACAACAAACACGAACAGCACACATAGCCCGAGTCCCGGAGAGGTGGGTGAGTTCACCGTCTCCTGAAACCCCAGCTACCAGGGGGTGCCCCAGTTGCTGATGCTCCGACACTACCCTCATCTGTCCCTCCCGGCTCTCAATTGTGCCCTTCACCCACACCCACTGACCACTCTTCCCAGGAGCTCAGCTGCAGGGTCCGCCCCAGCCTGGGTTTGGGGGCTACTATCCTCCTGGTATCCCAAGAGTTTGCACCCAAGAAAACCTCCCCAGTGCCCCACTTCTGCGCTGGGCCCCGTCCTAGGGTGGAGGTGCAAGCCTGTGAGCTTCTCCCTGGCCCTGAGAGCTGCTGGAATGGCTTCCCCATCTTTACATCTGATGCCTGCTCTTCCAGAGCTGGCCTTGGCACACATGGGTGGTCAACAAGTGTGTGTCCAGCGAACGAATGAACACCTTTAAAAAGTTCACCAGCTTCTCTGCTGAATTCCAGCTGGCCTGGGACGGGGTGGAGGAGGATGACTCACTGTTGGAGAACATTCTCCAGCTTATCAGAGGAAGAAGGAAAGAATTTAGATGGATCCTGTGGGTTCAAAAGGAGGTCTCTGGGCAGGGGAGGATTCAGGTTATGAGCAGCCTCAAACGTATAAAATGAGGGGCCCTCTGGAAGAAAAATATTACAAAAGTCAGTATTTTATGAAAATATATGACCTCGTGTGTGCCTTTCTAGGCCCCTGCAGATGGGCTCCGCTGGCATCACCCTGCCTCTAGGCACTCCCCCGTCCCAGGCACTGAGCTGGGTGACAGGGGGAAGAGTCCTGGGCAGGCCCCAGGTAGAGAGGCAGGCAGGAAAGGACACGTGCTTCCTGCTGGAAATCCCTGTGGCCAGGACACCCACCGCGCCCCCACAGGGAGTGCACTGCTTTTCCCCCACCATTCAAGGTGATGGGGCCGTCACCGGGGTGGTCTGTGGTTGTCCCCCATTGCACTCCCTGGTCCCTAGACCGAGCCCTCATTCTCAGGCACAGCAGGGAGCTCACTTCTCTGACAGGCAGGCCCCTGGGGCTGTCTGTGCCCCTAAATCTCACCCTCTCCACCCTAAGACCAGGTCCTCTGCCCAGCCTGGTACCAGAGGGCATGGGTGACACTCAGACATGTGACCGTCTCAGTCCCCAAGTGTGTCTTCCTGCACACAGACAGCCGAGCACCACAGAGGGTGCCTAGACTGGACTTAGGAAAAAAGGCATCGGCCTGGGCGTGTGTGTTTCATACCCTTCTATATGCAGATTGAACTCACTATACACAAGGTTGCTTTTGTAGCAAAAAAAATAAACTATGCAGAGCACGGTAAATATTCTGCAAGAATGACCTTTGTCCATTTTCATAATAAAGTGACAGTCTGTGGGATAGTGTTGCACACATTCTCCCAGACTGTATCTGTAGTTTGTTTTTGTTTTTGTTTTTTGAGACAGAGTCTCAGTCTGTTGCCAGGCTAGAGTGCAGTGGCGCGATCTCAGCAATCCTCTGCCTCCCGGGTCCAAGCGATTCTCCTGCCTCAGCCTCCCGAGTAGCTGGGATTACAGGCATTCACCCATTCACCACCACACCCAGCTAATTTTTTTTTTTTTTTTTTTTTTTTTAGTAGAGATGGAGTTTCACCACATTGGCCAGGATGGTCTTGATCTCTTGACCTCGGCTGCTCACCTCAGCCTCCCACAGTGTTGGGATAACAGGTGTGAGCCACCACGCCCAGGCTAGCTTTGGTTTGAATATGGTTACTGATACCGTCTGACTGTTTAAGTTTCAAATTTCAGGTAGTAAGATGTATGTAGTTTTTCTCTGCAGCTCCCTCCTTTGCTCAGAAGTAAGTGCTAAGCCTAGAAGACGCTCTCACGTTTCATTCTTTTCCATTGCTCCCATTGCGTGTATGTATTTCCTCATCATTTCCTCTGCTGCCGCTGTGAAGGAGGAATTGCCTGGTTAGCCAGGGGTTCTGGCGCCATCAGCCAGCCCAGCTCCTTCCACCCATCCGAGGCAGCTTCTTCATCCAGAACTCATCACAAGTAGATCTGTCTCTGGGTATTTCCACTGGGTCTTAGCACAGCCCCAGACGGTTTTACCTCCTTGCCCTGCGTCCCCAGGACGAGACAGAAGGGCCCACAGTGGTGATTCTCATGGCAGCTTATTGGGAGTGTGTTTGAATGACCAGTACCTCCCCACCACTCTCATCTTGCCCCCCAGAATTAGAGTGGTAATTCCCATCTGTCGTCGTTTCGAATGAATTTTGCAGTCACTTTGCCCAGTTCCTTCAAAGTTGCATTGGACTTTTCACGGCCATTGCCGTAAATGTCTGCATGGAGAAACATGGACGTTTTCAGTCATCAAACTCTGGGAAGGGCAGGGACTGCAGCAGAAGGGCGGCTGCAGAGACAGTTGAGGGACCCTGCCCCCTGGCGCGGGGCATAGCTGTTGGAACCCACTGGTCCCTTGGCTGGACCCACTGGCCTCCCTCTGGTCCTCTTTCCAAGTGGGGGCTTCCCATGGCTTCAGGGGCCCACTGGGTTGCAGCTGCAGCTGAGGCCGCAGCTCCCAGACCAAACTCCACCCTAAAAACCTTTCAGGAAATCGTAGCCAAGCATCCCAGTTCCACCGTTAGGATTTGCTGACTCCACCTGCATGGCACAGACCTGCTGGGTCCTCACAGCCCTGCGCATTTTTGGGGAGGCACCAGGTGGGAAGCAGCTCAAGTGGAGGTCTCTGTTAGACCCCAAATGGAGATGCCTGCAAGAGGGCTCTGAGCCATGGCACAAGCCTGGGTGTTGACCCCACCCACCTGGCCCCAGCCTCCCCACCCACCGCCCTATCCAGGGGGCTCAGCCCTCCCGCTCCCCCCCTCTTTATCCCGCCAGGCCTCGAAGCCTCAGCCCTTGTGGGGCACCCAGGCCACCACTCCTGGGTCACATGCAGAATCGGGCTTGGCTCAGAGCCTGTCCCCAACAGACATGAGGCGTGGATACACTTCCCCTTCTACCGTTTTTAAACCTGGCAAATAATTCCTCTATCTTGCCTGAAAAGCATAACTAAAATACACTACCTTTCCGTGTTTTTGTTCCATTCTCTGCTGAAAATAATACAAACAAACCTCTTGGACGGAGGAGA